TCAGGTTGCACGTTTTCAGCAAAATTGGCCCGACTTAGGGGACAACATCCCCAGCATCACCCGCATCGCCAGCATGCATAACATCATCCGCATCATCCGGGATGATGCTGGCAATGCTGGGGGTGTTGTCCAGTATTAGGCACCCCCTAAAAATGCTCGTTTTTGGGCGCTGCGGGGAGATGCTACAAAAATCGCCTAAACCAATCCGCGAATCCTTCGCCCCTTATAAGGAAGGCCCAGCCCAAAACGTACCCGCATGGTCCGCGCATGGTCGGCGGCATGGGGCGCGCGGCCTTATACCTGAAGGTAAGCCCTAACGGGCTTTGGCCTGCGGCCCGATCACGTCCGGTGGCCGGATTTACACGCTGACGCGACACAGCCGGCCACCGGGCACCTTGCCCTGCTCGTTCTGTCACTTCCCTTTCCTGTAAGTCCGATTAGTAGATGTTAAGATTTTAAAATTCTAAAAACTTTGAGATTCTAAGGGTCTCAGATTTGAAGACTGTCGGAATTTAAGGTTTCAATGGTTTAAGAATTAAGGTTTTAAGATTCAAAGATTTAAAGTTTTTGAAGGTTATAACAGCCAGGCCATTGCCCAGCCATTTTCCATCTATTATCAGATTTCGAAGGCTTTAAGATTTTATTTTTCGGAGATTTTCAGATTTGGCGACTTTCGGAATTTAAGATTTTAAGATCTCAAGATTTCAAGGCTTCAAAGTTTCAAGATTAAGAGTTTAAGGAATTTAAAATATAGCCCGGATTGAAGGAATTTTATTATATTTTACTTGTTTATGAAGTTAAGATTTTCAGATTGCAATAGTTCGAGATTTAAAGAATTTAAGTTTTGAAAGCTTTTCAGATTCTGAGATTTTAAGACTTTGAGAATTTAGGAAGTTATATTTTTAGATTTTAACATCTGAAGATTCAAAGATATTCGGGTTTTAAGAAGTCAAGATTCGAAGACTTTAGGATGTTTATATTTTCAGATTGTAAGATTCGATCTTCTAAGGTTGTAAGTTTAAGATCTTGAGGTTTCAAGATTTCCAAGTTTCAAGAGTCAGAGTTTAAGACTGTAGGAATTTCATATTTTAAGAGTTTAAGATCGCAAGATTCTAAGACATAAGGGCTTTAAGATTTCAAGTTCGAAGACTTTAGGATGTTTTTATATTTTCAGATTTTAAGATTCTAAGTTCGAAGATTTTAAGATCTCGAGATTCTAAGATTGATTGTTAGATTTTAATTTAAGATTTTAAGAATCTAAGACTTTAGGATTTTGAGATTTCAATCCAGGCCATTTTCCATCCATTTTCCATCCACTTTAAGATTTTAAGATTTTCAGCACGTTTTCGGCAAAGTTGGCCCGACTTAGGGGACAACATCCCCAGCATCCCCCGAGACTTTAGGATGTTTTTATATTTTCAGATTTTAAGCTTTAGGATTTTGAGATTTCAATCCAGGCCATTTTCCATCCATTTTCCATCCATTTTCAGGTTCGTTTTCGGCAAAGTTGGCCCGACTTAGGGGACAACATCCCCAGCATCCCCCGAGACTTTAGGATGTTTTTATATTTTCAGATTTTAAGATTCTAAGTTCGAAGATTTTAAGATCTCGAGATTCTATCATTGATTGTTAGATTTTAATCCAGGCCATTTTCCATCCATTTTCCATCCACTTTAAGATTTTAAGATTTTCAGGTTGCACGTTTTCGGCAAAGTTGGCCCGACTTCGGGGACAACATCCCCAGCATCCCCCGCATCACCGGCATCATCCGCATCAATGTCCGCCAAGGATGCGGATGATGCAGGTGATGCCGGGGATGTTGTCCACTATGGGCACCCCCCAAAAAACACTCGTTTTTTGACTCCGCGGGGAGATGCTCAAAAAGCCGCCAAAAATCGCCTGAACAAATCCGCAAATCCTTCGCCCCTTATAAGGGTGGGCCCAGCTTGGCGCAGCGCAAAACGTACCCGCATGGTCGGCGGCATGGGGCGCGCGGCCTTATACCTGAAGGTAAGCCCTAACGGGCTTTGGCCGCGGCCCGATCACGTCCGGTGGCCGGATTTACACGCTGACGCGACACAGCCGGCCACCGGGCACCTTGCCCTGCCCGTTCTGTCACTTCCCTTGTAAGTCCGATGAGTAGATGTTAAGATCTTAAATTCTAAAAACTTTGAGATTCTAAGGGTCTCAGATTTGAAGACTTTCGGAATTTAAGGTTTCAATGGTTGAAGAATTAAGGTTTTAAGATTCACAGATTTAAGGCTTTTGAAGGTTATAACAGCCAGGCCATTGCCCAGCCATTTTCCATCCAAGGCTTTAAGCTTTGTGAGATTTTCAGATTTGGCGACTTTCGGAATTTAAGATTTTAAGATCGTAAGATGTCAAGACTTCAAAATTTGAAGATTAAGAGGTTAAGGAATTTAAAGTATTGCCCGTATTGAAGGAATTTTATTATATTTTTACTTGTTTATGAATCTAATATTTTCAGGTTGCAATAGTTCGAGATTCATATTTTCAGATTTTAACATCTGAAGATTCAAAGACATGAGGGTTTCTGTCACTTCCCTTTCCTGTAAGTCCGATGAGTAGATGTTAAGATTTCAAAATTCTAAAAACTTTGAGATTCTAAGGGTCTCAGATTTGAAGACTTTCGGAATTTAAGGTTTCAATGGTTGAAGAATTAAGGTTTTAAGATTCGAAGATTTAAGGCTTTTGAAGGTTATAACAGCCAGGCCATTGCCCAGCCATTTACCATCCATTATCAGATTTCGAAGGCTTTAAGATTTTATTTTTTGTGAGATTTTCAGATTTGGCGACTTTCGGAATTTAAGATTTTAAGATCTTAAGATGTCAAGACTTCAAAATTTGAAGATTAAGAGTTGAAGGAATTTAGAATAATATAGCCCGTACTGAAGGAATTTTATTATATTTTACTTGTTTATGAATTTAAGATTTTCAGACTGCAATAGTTCGAGATTTAAAGAATTTAAGTTTTTGAAGCTTTTAAGATTCTGAGATTTTAAGATTTTGAGAATTTAGGAGTTTCATATTTTCAGATTTTAACATCTGAAGATTCAAAGACATGAGGGTTTCTGTCACTTCCCTTTCCTGTAAGTCCGATGAGTAGATGTTAAGATGTTAAAATTCTAAAAACTTTGAGATTCTAAGGGTCTCAGATTTGAAGACTTTCGGAATTTAAGGTTTCAATGGTTGAAGAATTTTGGTTCTAAGATTTCATATTTTAAGAGTTTAAGATCTCAAGATTCTAAGACATTCGGTTTTTAAGATTTCAAGATTCGAAGACTTTAGGAAGTTTTTATATTTGTAGATTTTAAGATTCTAAGTTCTAAGATTTTAAGATCTTGAGATTCTAAGATTGATTGTTAGATTTTAATCTAAGATTTTAAGAATCTAAGACTTTAGCATTTTGAGATTTCAATCCAGGCCATTTTCCATCCATTTCCATCCACTTTAGATTTTAAGATTTTCAGGTTGCATACCCCGCATCGCCAGCATGCATAACATCATCCGCATCATCCGGGATGATGCTGGCAATGCTGGGGGTGTTGTCCAGTATTATGCACCCCCCAAAAATACTCGTTTTTGGACTCGTTTTTGGGCGCTGCGGGGAGATGCTACAAAAATCGCCTAAACCAATCCGCAAATCCTTCGCCCCTTATGAGGGAGGGCCCAGCATAAAACGTATGCGCATGTTCTGATCATGGTCCGCGCATGGTCGGCGGCATGGGGCGCGCGGCCTTATACCTGAAGGTAAGCCCTAACGGGCTTTGGCCTGCGGCCCGATCACGTCCGGTGGCCGGATTTAGCAGGCTGACGCCTGATGCCGCCGACCCCCAAGGAACAGGGGTTACGTGCCAGGGCCGGGGATTGAAACACGATGCAATTTCGCCCCTCAGCATCATCATCATTATCATCATCATCAGCATCATCATTCATCATCATCATCACCATCAGCCTCATCATCATCATCACCGTCGTCGTCATCATCATTTTCATCATCCATCATCATCATCATCAACATCCACCATCATCGCCAAGCGCTGCCTGGCATGCCGGCGATGCGCGGCCCTCGCTCTACAAAACGCTGCAAATACCGCCAAAAACTGCTGCGCTGAGCGTTGGGCTGTTGTTCCGTCCGTTTTGCTTTTGCTGTGGCTGGCTCGCGCGAGCGCGACCCCAGCCACCAAACGCTGCCATTTACGGTGTTTTGTTGCATTTGCGTTTCCGGGCTGGCTTGCGGGCTGTTCTTTTTGGGCTGCTGTTTCGCCCATGTCAGCCTTCTGGGTTGGGGCCCCGGTTAGGGCCCCGAAAGCTGGCATCCCCGGCATCATCTGGGGTTGGGGTGGGCAACATGCATAACCTAACCAGCCATATCATAGCACAGGATACGTTTCTCATGCAAAAACATGACATGACATGGTATAACTTCAAAGAGGCGTAGCCGGCTAGAGGCCGCAGGCCCAGAAATAAAGGTGATCATTTCCAGCCAGTGACTACAAGTGGTTGCCAAATGCCAAAACTCAGGCACGACAATGAGACGTTCAAGTCAATTTGTGCCACCGAAGTTTGTCGGAGGCTGTGTTTCCAACATGAATTCCAAAAGCGGAAAAATTAAACTGCCCAAGCAAAAAGGCATTTCAAAAGGAAAGGAATCTTCAAATATGGATATCTGGCTCAACTCTAATCTGCCTTAGAGTCAGTCTTTTGTAAATTTACCCCCTTCTCTGGCGGGTTCGGATTTGATTACAAACAAAGGGCGATCTAAGTGGGGGCTGTCTGCAATTGATTCCCGACCCAATATGGAATCTACCACTTGAATTGCGCATGTGTGGTGTATCTGGTGTGGTGTGGTGTAGTGCGGTGGAGGGGTGTTCAGGGAAACCAGCAGGAACATATCATCACAATCTTGTGGTCCAGATCCCCATGTTGACTCCGCACAGCGGGGCCAACTGCCCGGCTTGGCAACATCTCCCTCTTTCCTTCAGTTGCAGCAGGTTGGCCGCCACGTTCTCCCCTTGGAGCATCTGGGCGAAGTTAAAGCCAAGCTGGAGCTGCAACATGCCATGCACCAGCTCCTGGTTTGGGTTCGGGAGGGCCTCTGCTGAGCTGCTGGGTTTGGGGACGTACGGGGCTAGGTTTGTTCTATTGCAACAGCATGTTTCTGGAACTGTCATATTTAGCGAACCTTGAGAATCAAAATGTGAAGAACGGTCGCAGGGCTGAGTGTGACTTACATATTGGATAGACATCATCAACGTCTCCTTATTTGGTAGTTCTGGATTGCTTTGGAGTTAAGGGGTGCTTTCTCCTCTGGCTGTACATCAAGCTTACAACCCAACGCACGAAAATTGAGGGCAATCTGACACCTGGACAAACAGTCTGCCAGGAAGAATCAAAGGAACTTGGAGATTGATGCTTGTTAGCAGGGTTTAAACATCAACCAACGGGAGGCTCGATCAACATCGGCCCAACAGGCAAGGGGCGGGATACATGCTCCAGGTCTCAGGTCCTACCCCCCCAGCTGTGGGGGTGGTGGGGTTGGTTTTGGGCTCGTTCTGGGCTCAAAGCTGAAGGGTAGCCTGGTTGGCCTGAGGATCGGGGATGTGTTGGGGGGCAAGCGAACCTGGGACCGGGAACATGGCCCTATGGCACCCAGCAAGATGGCATAAGGGGCGATGGTAGCTATTAGGGCGCGGGCTTCATTGTGGCTTTTTCTCCCCAGGTCCCCACCAGGTCATTTGTGATGGCCACACACCAGGTTTAAAGATTCACGAGGTTTCATTTGGCGCTCAAGTCGAACCAACCGGTCATGGCACCTCCTCTTCCTGGTCCAGCTCATCCCAGGACGGAACCGCCGCTGAGTAAAACCTCGCATGGCCACCGTTCGACACTTCACCTGAGGAAGCTCACCTCAACTCAGAGGTGAGGTTTCAAACCCAAGGCAAATACACCCCCCCCATCAGTCAACTTCCAGTGTTCAAGATACGCATCGCAATAAGTTAACCCACGATGCTCTTACCGCCTTCTGTGGATTCCACTAATACTGATTGTTTTCGTGGGAGGTGCTTAGATTGGACGGACGCATCCCTGGCGGTCTCGGAATCCTAAGCCCTGTGAATTCAGGCAGCTGGGCCTCCTTTGCGGATAAACCAATGCACAGGGCCAGAGACAAGCACAGAGACAGAGTCACAAACAAACTAACAAACATGCAGCAAAGACAAACAATCAAACAATCACGGAAAAGAAGCAACCAAACAAGCACAAAAACAGCACAAGCAAGCAAATGCTCGAAAGCCAAGGCACGAGAGGATGAATGAGATCGCTGATTCGGGGCGCTGGCAGTCCAAAGGCAACTGCCTTGTAAGCGACCGGAATTTGCCTGCCAAGGCAAAGGGTTGTTCACCCAAAAAAATCGTCTAGCGGGTGGGTTCATCGTATGATGTTCCTTCTCCCACTCGAATTGAACACATCAAGCCGGTAACAACTACTTGGGCATGCATGGCGTGGTGCTTTCTTTTTGAACTACCACCAGCATCTTGTTCCAGAACAAACATGCAAAGAAACAGTGGGTGGGTAATTCACGGTGCAGGGTCACATGAAACTGGAACACATTGGAACGCCGCGCAACCAACCAACAAGGAAGGAAACCCCTTGTTGTTGTTGATGCAAAATGTTGCGAGCTGCTAGCTAGACCGATGTTCAAAAGCTCAGCTCTTGCTCGGTTTATGCTGGGCCTGTTGCGCTTAGACAGATCTACGGGTGCGCGTGGCGACACACACACACACACACACACACGCACCCACGCACCCACACCCACGCACCCACGCACCCACACCCACGCACCCACGCACCCACGCACCCACGCACCCACACACCCACGCACCCACGCACCCACACACACACACACACGCGCACACACACACACACACATAACAAACACGCCGGCGTTGCTTCGGCCACTCTCTAAGCGCCTTTGCAGGTCACGTGCTCCGACTGATTCTCATGAATTCACATTGGCATTTTCTTGCTTGAGGGTCCCTCCGCAATTGTTGTTAAAGGACAAAAGAAGGCCATCCATCTCGAACGTTTCCTTTGGAGACAAAGGGCCACACACCACACAGGCATTGCAGTCGCTTGGGATGTGCAGGAATGATCTTGTACTGTCCTAAAACAAGTATCCGATCACCAAAAAACAGCGGAGAGCGAACAGTCAAGGAACTGCACACAAATTGAGAGATATGTCGAGAAGGGCATAAAGCCAACAAACTACCAAGTACAAACAATAAAGGGAAGGTCAACCCCAAGAATCCGCGATGTGGTCAGGTGTCATTCAGGTGTCATCCGCGGTCAATGCGCCTAGGCCTTTGACCGCCAGCAAGAAGATCGCGGTGAGCATCTTCTTGTGGTCCGGGCAACACCACACCAGAAGCTCCTGGAGCCAAACAGTGCATTTCAGAAGCCAAAGCCTAGCGGACCGGGTAGCGGGGAACGTCTCGTAGGCATGGCTCATTTGTGACGGTTTGTACTGCAAGCCCCTGAAACCAAAGCTGAGTGATCCTAGCCCAAGATTCCAGCTCTCAAGGCGAATCACATGCAAACATTTAACATACGCCCTGCCTTACACATAGGATGACAGCGCTTACCTTGGATAAGACTTGCCCTTTGCCCTGGACCAGCTCTTGAGCGCTTTCAGGCTCTTGATTGATGTGGGCCTACAGATGTGGCCATGCGCATGGGCTTTTCCGCAGGCACGCATTGAAACGAGACAAAGGATAGACGTTCATCATGATATCTGCTCGGCTGTTCCATGTTTGTCTGCCTTTCACACCTCCAGCATATCTGCAAATGATTGGATTCCCGCATAACAACGTTGCAACTCAGATGTTTGAAGATGTGTCTCCTGCACATTCCCAAGTCAAACTGTGTGAACCCCAATTGAAGCAGTCTCCAGTTTCCGTAAAGCTGGAAGAGACTGGATTTGGACTTGGCCCCCACAACTGGTTATTTTCACTTTGGGCGTCTTTTGAACCAACCAAAAGGGGTTTGACAAAACAAGCACTAAGCACATTTGGAGAAAGACTATCAGGGGGGCCGTGCCCACAAACCTTGCACGCAGCAGGCCAATTTTTGCGGGTTACAAATGGTAAGGCTTTTGTGCCCCGCAACGAGGGGCGAGAGCACGGGGTGATGGGACAGGCGGGATGCAGGAACATTCCTGGATTGGCTCGGGTTTGCAGTTGGCAGCAGACTTTTGTGGGGCACAGTTGGGAGGGTGAAACAACCAAGGGTGATAAGTAGGGGGGGCTCTGGAAAAAAGAGCAAGTGACCCATCCCAGTTTGGCTCCCTTTTGGGACAATTGAAGTTCATGGTTCTGTGGCAAGTGTGCATCCCCTGCTCCCCTTCTCCTGCAATTCTTGCCACTGCTCGGAGCTAAGGCACGCCGTGGGCTTCTGTGGGGACACATACCTGACACACTCGTGGGGCTTACCTTTTGACCCACAGGCTCCCAAAAAAAGAGGTCACGAATGACTTGACGACCCCTGGAAAACCCAAGAGTAGCCGAGTGTGTTTGATAGTTCGCAGTCAAACACACGCAAATTCCTGTGCCCATAGTCCATCTAAGCGGAGCAAGCTTTGATGTTGGCGCTTTGGCACCAGAGGAAGGGCTGGTTTCCTCATCTCTCTGGCTGACACAATGTTCTTACAGGGAAAGGCTCCTTCGTATTTCTTCAAATCATGGGCTTCTTTGAAGACCACCTCTCAGCATGAAGCGACCTTTTTAGCAGGGACACTTTCAACTTTTCCCACAACACCGTCCTGTTATGTACATATTCGCAGCGAATGCCGGCTGCGCTGTCTGTTTCTCCGCAATTGATCCGTGGGGTTTCGCTGCAAAAGCTCATCCCCTTCTCAATAGAAATCCAGCGAATTTGCTTGCGACCGGGCAGCAACGTGTAATCGTCACGGACCAAAGCAATCAGGCTAAGGATGCCAGACTCAGCACGCTCCTGCTCTTTGGAGTCGGAGTATCTGATGTGCAGGCCCTCCTCAGCACGCCGCACCCTAACAACACCGCCTCCCAAGGGCAACTCCAAAGTGCCGAAAGGAATGCACCACACCCTGGACAAATCACTTGGGCAAGTTGAACAGCGAGATTTGGAAAGGCCTGCGGGCAGGGTAGCGGCCCCTTTACATTTGTGGGGAAGCACGAAACTAATTTCTATTGTTTGGTTGTCCTCTGCACTTGTTTAGATCAGAGAAGGCGCCCGTTCTTTCTGGACACTAGTGCCATTCACCATCCTAGATCCTTTTGTTGTCCGCCAAACGTTTGGGGCGTTCACCTGAATCAACCGAAATCGGTGCTCGATCTATCGACACCTTCAGTCCTCGGGATGCAACTCGACAAAGGCAGCACGGAGATGTTTGACCGTCTCGTCCAACGTCTCTGGCTCCTGGACACAAATCAGGGCGTTCAAAATGTGGCCCGTGGCCAGTCCAAACTGACTAGGAAGCTACGACAGGGATCCTTACATTATACACCTGAACATTGCCTTGTAAATGGTGGTTTCCCTTTATTTTGGTGGAACAAAAACATGTTTTAATTGGGCAACATGTATCTTTTAAGGAGCCCTGTACGAAGGGGACCCCTTTCATCGTGAAATGATCTTGAGGATTGCCTTCGCAGCCCGCCAGCCCGCACCGCAGGCACTGTCCCCCCAGAGGCCGCTCATGAATCCAATCGTGGTTATGCCCCCGAAAGCAGCAGTGTCATTAAGTATCATTTAATTACTCATTGTTTGTTGTTTGGCTCGGTGAAGCCTTAAACACGACCATTGGAATACGAATATTGTCTTAACGTATTGGTAGACATTAATATATTGAAAATCACTCACAAATGCAAGCGCACATACCTTCTGCCACATTCGGGCTACAATAAAGATTGGTAAAAAAAACAACGTCGCTGTCAAGCAACCGTCTCTCGCGGCCTTGCTGCGCAGCACATGGTCGACAAAGCTGGGGGGGCTCAGTAGGTCATCCACCTGTGAGATGGGAAAAGCCTAGCCTCAGCCCCCGGAATGGGTTTTCTCCCTCCGGCAACCCTTGACCCTCCAAACGGACAAAAGCCAGAACAAGCGCCACAGGTTCCGGAGTGTTCAAATTCTCACAGCACCCCAGGGCAACTAGCAAGGCCAGGGTTCAGTCGCCGGACGCCAACCTGCATTACTGCATGGGCAAAAGTGTCGAGCCGCTGTAGGCTCATACCTGCACATCTACATGTTTTGATTCCTATGTTGCATATAAGCCTGATGAGATGGACAAACAAAGAAAACACGCACACGCACGCGCACGCGCACGCGCGCAGGCACATGCACACGAGTACGCGCACGCACAACCACACGCACAAACACACGCACACGCACACGCACACGCACACGCACACGCACACACAAACACACACACACACACACACACACACACACACACACACACACACACACACACACACACACACACACACACACACACACACACACCCACACACACACACACACACACACACACACACACACACACACACACACACACACACACACACCACACACAGACACACACACACACACACACAAACACACACCCACACACACACACAAACGCACACACACACACAAACACACACAAACACACACACACACACACACACACACACACACACACACACACACACACACACACACACACACACACACACACACACACACACACACACACACACACACACACACGCGCACACGCGCACACGCGCGCACGCGCGCACGCGCGCACGCGCGCACGCGCACACGCGCACACGCGCACGCGCGCACGCGCGCACGTGCGCACGCACGCACGCACGCACGCACGCACGCACGCACGCACGCACGCACGCACGCACACACACAGACACACAGACACGCAGACACACAGACACACAGACACACAGACACACAGACACACAGACACACAGACACACAGACACACAGACACACAGACACACAGACACACAGACACACACACACACCACACACACACCACACACACCACACACACCACACACACACCACACACACCACACACACAACACAACACAACACAACACAACACAACACAACACAACACAACACAACACAACACAACACAACACAACACAACACAACACAACACAACACAACACAGCACGCACGCACGCACGCACGCACGCACGCACGCACGCACGCACGCACGCACGCACGCTCGCACGCACGCACGCACGCACGCTCGCACGCACGCACGCACGCACGCACGCACGCACGCACGCACGCACGCACGCACGCACGCACGCACGCACGCACGCACGCACGCACGCACGCACGCACGCACGCACGCCCGCGCCCGCCCGCACGCACACACGCACGCACGCACGCACACGCACACGCACACGCACACGCACACGCACACGCACACACGCACACACGCACACACGCACACACGCACACACGCGCACACGCGCACACACGCACACACGCACACACGCACACACGCACACACGCACACGCACACCCACACACACACACACACGCAAGCAAACAAGCAAGCCATTATTCTAGGGGCAACGGCCCCACTTTTTAAGCGTACCTGGAGTCTCCACGGAACCTTTTCCTCCGACATGGGTGCATTGCCCCCTCGTGTAAAGGGTCAGAAGGAGACTGGGGTACCTGGGTCCAGTTCAGGTCGGCTCACCAAAGTTTGCACTTCCCACAGAGAATCGCCATGATCAGATCCCTGCCCCAGCGCTTGCCCCGGAACTAGAAACATGTTTGGAGTCTGGCCCGTGCAACTTGGCGAGCCAGGAAAATGTAGACGGACCCAAAAGAAAAGGGTACCAAACGTACGAGCAACGTGGCGTGCAAACACATTTGGAACACACGGGAGATGGACACATTTCTCTGGAATAACAGGGATTGAGAACAAGTCACCCAAAAAACGAGCGAGGGAACATGTCCACCAAACAACGGCCATGGGAACATATCATGTATAGCCGTTTATCCATCCAGCCGACCATCGAATCTGTCTACATCTGTCTACGTGACTGCCAACATACACAAGCATGGAAATTCAAAGGAAGGGTCCTGGAAAAAGAAATTCCATTAAAAAGGGACTGGGATTCCATCTTAGTGGACCAGAGAAGAAGCCTGCGCCATGTGCTTCATAGCGCCAGGCCTTGAGATAGTTCAAATCCAGGGTCCGGATCACCCGGCGGCTGTCCACGTAGAGCTCCAGGTAGAAGGAGTTGCTCTCGCAACTTCTCTGCCTACAGCGAAAATCCGGGGGGGGGACAAATACCAGCACACTAGGGATTCAAGCTGAACAGTTGGTCATGAGCGGGTATGATTCGGGGTGTGGATCAAGGGTGGGGTTCGGGGTATCGCTCGCGGAAATCTTACTGGGTGGCTTTGGGTGCTTTTAGGATCGCTTATACTGATACTGGCAAACAAATAGCCGGGGAGCTTGTGCCAAACAGTGGCAATCATGAGGGACAGCTGCAAGAGGCACTGCCCTCGCGTGCGCCACGCCGTGTGGAGCTATGTTGCGGAGCAAGTCGACCCGCACAAAGTCGCAAAGGTTGGGTGTTCAAGCTTCACCCTTTGAGCCGCGTAGTTACCCCGTGCCAGCAGGGGCGGTCGCAATCACACACTAAACCACACAAAAGCCGCCAAAGAAAGGGCACGCGCATCCACCCTTTGCCACTGCAGCAAGAGCACACTTGGGAATAACAGCCGAAAGAGCCAAGCAGTCAGTGCGAGCCTCCGCACTTTTGACATTCACTTGCGCAAATGTTGCAGTATGCCGGTCCATGCAAACTGCCGGGAGGGGGCCACCCAAAGCACATACCCAAACACAACTCTCAGATATGGCTTTCAAAATAGGCTTACAAGATCAGCAGTTCTTGAAGACTCAGACTGCTTTTTGTATCTTTTATCAGGGGGGCATGAATTGGGATGGTTCGGGGTATGATTCGAGGATATACTCGCCCAGGTCCCACTTCACACGTAGACTCATCGACACAACAAAAAGTACTTGTTTCCGCGAACGTGTGCTATTTAGGCCCAGCGGCGCGCAGTTGGACTGCTGTTCTAAAACTTCGACGCAGCTGAGATTGGGCGCCGGCAACGTGTAGTGCAGAAGGTACTCCTTACATAGGCGTCAGAAGGATGGCAAACATTAGAAAGACCGTAAACGGGTGACGGGTAAAGGAACAATCCTCTTCAATTCCCCCTTAGATCTCTGCTAGGCTTAAGCCAGCGCTGTCGCAGCCTGGCAGAAGCAACGTCCAACCTTCAGTGCATGCCTGGCGTCATTGGTGTACTCGATGAACATTGTAGCACACATGGGCGAGTTGGCCAGCACTGCTGCCATCTTGCCTGACGTTTGGATCCCATCAGTCCAAGGGATGTACGAAGCGGATCCATAGAGTCTGGTTGAGGGCAGGGCCAGCTATACCACCAACAAACACGGAGTAGTACCACCCCTACTCAAAAGTAATGGCTTGCCAACCCGGGCTGCAAGTTTGTTGGTGGAAGTGTATCCATGCTCTTGTGGTTTCCTTTAGAAATGTACACAGCTCCTCGGGCTATTCGGCGCCCAAGTCGGGGTCCTCAAGAAAGTCGAAGGGTTCACAGCTAGCTCTCAGCCTCATCCTACGCAAAGCCGATAGCGGAAGACTTTCATGCAACACCACAGCAAGGAGAAGCTCAATTCAGGTTGGCCCACCAAGTGATGCTTAACCTAAATAAAACTGATGGCCAGGATGTTCGGTTCGGCTCACCCCCCTAAATCGACGGGCGCACGGAGGATGGTGGGTTCCCTCTTTATGCATGAAAGAAACTCATCCGCGGAAGGCCTTGGTCGAAGAGAAAGTGAACAGTCAAAATCGGCATGCTCAGGGCCATGCAGCTTGTTCATCGGAATGGGTGTGGCTTCTTTCAGGGCGACCGTTTTTTGGTGAAAGCCATAGGCGCCATAGGGCCTCCGTCCGAACATTCCAGCGCTTCCCCATGCGGCCACAGCTGCTCCCAGATAGCGCGAAGACCTCTGCGAAGGACTCCGTACGCAGGGAGAAGTGATGCATCACCGCCTCCACGTACAAGGCCACCTGGAAAGCTATGAAGATGTACGTAGGCTCTACTTCTACTAGAACTGAAAGCTCAGGTAAACCATGTCGTCCATTAAAGTGAAATCCCAAAATGACCCTCTCAATGGGCGGTTTCATGGGCAATCAAGCCAAGACGTCGTCTTGAGAACCCATCACAATGTTCACTTAGGACCCAGCAATCGCGTTAACAGATTTTGGATGATACAGGAGATTGAAGATTCCCCCATTTTTGGGGGTTCACTGGCCCTCCATACACCAAGGGGTGAGGTTTGACTGCCTGGAGCCAATACCTGTCGGGGGGTGGGGGGGTAAACCGCTATTGATTCCGTATCACTCAGCCCTTCAGAACACCAAACACATGCGTCACTCCAAAGAAAAGACAATTTCTTGTGAGCGAGTTAGACAGGTGAGCTCGAATTGGCTCCAGCATGCCCCGCCTCCGCGAAATAGCGGCACTCGTCTTCAAATTCCAAATGCGAGCTGTCAGTTGCTGAACACAAAGAGAATTGCCCATGGCTCGTGATGTACATCATCTCCGCCAATAAGCCTGGCATCGGCTGACGTGGAAGCAAGCACGCCACGCGCTTTGCCGCTGACTTTCAGGGGTGACGTTGTTGTCATTCTGAAAGGGTGGTCCCACACACTGTGGCCATACCCCCCAAATGCTGCTCACGGTTTGTGATGCTTTTGGGCATGTTTGCGCAAATCGTGCCAGTTCGCATCGGAGAAACACAGCTCCAAACGCACAAACACATGTCAGCAAAAAGCTGGCCCTAACTAAAGCAGCACACTTAAGAACTTGGAATTTGAAGGCAACCCTTGAAAGGTCGCCCCTGGTCAAGCGTGCCATGCTGACGCGCTCCCGCGAGCTTTCTCATGGTGTATGCTGCTCTGAGGATAGCATCTCTAGTCTGAATGTCAACAGGGCCAACACTACCCACAGTGGACGTGCACAAATTTGGTTCAACACACACACACACATACAGTTCAACAACTAGTCGTTTGTCTTCGTCTACACACCAAAAACTTGTGCTGCTCTCACTTTCACCGGCTAGATGCCATGGCAGCCCGGCCTGCGCTGAACACGGACTCCGCCTCGCAAAAGAACTTCTTCTCCAAGGCCCGACAGAAATCTGCGAAGACTTGGGGGAAGACCCTGCCCGTGAGGGCGAAGAAGGGATGTCCTTGCCTCGGGTAGAGGCCGGCCGCGCGTGTTGGAGCTTGTGTCCGTCGCTGCGAAGCACTTCGCTGTTGCAAATGCATGGCCGCATAAGTGCATAAGTATGTATATTAAAATGCCCAATGACATAGAGGGCCTCTTTCCAGTGTACGTAACAGGTTTGCACAGCGCTAGGAAAGAATCTTAGAACGTGCTTAAGAAGCGGACTGAGAACCTTTTCGCAGGGTGGAGGCGTCGGCACCGCATTGTTCAGCTCTTGATGCCTGCAACTGTTCATTGTTGGAAGCAGTGACGCGATAAAACTGGAGCGGCAACAACCCTTGTGAAACATGCCTTCGTGATGCGCACGCTTTCTTCAAGCCAAGGGGACATTGCCCTTGCCTTCTTTTCTGCGCTGCGTGCTGCGTGCAGAACAACACAAACAAACAAACAAACAAATAAACAAGCGGACAGACAGACAGACAGACAGACGGACGGACGGACAGACAGACACAGACAGACAGACAGAGACAGACAGAGACAGACAGACAGACAGACACAGACAGACAGACAGACACAGACAGACACAGACAGGCAGACACAGACAGACAGACAGACAGACAGAGACAGACAGACACAGACAAACAGCCAGACACAGACACAGACACAGACACAGACACAGACACAGACACAGACAGAGACAGAGACAGAGACAAAGACGGAGACAGAGACAGACAGACCAACAACCAAAACAAACAAGCTCTCAAGCACCAAAACACCCAACCCAACACACAAAGAAAGAAAACACTGCGAAACCAAACCAACAAGCAATGTGTTTCGGGAGCCAGGATTCAAGGTATCTCCCAGTTGTGCGGTGGCCAGTTCAGCTTCCAGCATTGGAGAGATGAGGCCGGCGTCGAAGGAGATGGGGCTGTGTCGGGCCATCTTGTAATCTGCGTAGCTCATGATGCGCATTAAGAGCTCCTTGGTCAAGGCGTCAGGTGGCTTTGGTTCTACAAAACGGTGTCCCTTTAAACCCATATGAAAAGGGCATCCTCAGATGAAGCTTTTGGGAACTTATCCACCTCATTCATGGTCTCACTGAATCGCGTTTCGGTACATGACTGCCCTTCTATCAGAGGCGCACAGGATGCGGAAAGCTTCTCTTGGGTTTAGGGTGTAGGGTCGCTGGTCTGCACCTGTCGGCTTGAGGCTCTGGGGCGAAGGGATGGAAGGTGAAACATGCTAGGGGGATCCACTGTGGATGGACGAAATCCGTTCGCATCGTTCCGAAACCCTGGGAAAGTTTCTGCTGATTCCCCTGTGCCAATGCTTTCCCAGGGTTTTAAAAAGGTGCGAACGGAACCCGTCCATCGGTATCAAAAAACCGGGGTCTCCACCCCAGGGGTAAGAAGCCTCGGGAGTTCTGCCCAGATTCCGTACGAACCGCCTTGGTCTGCAGGTAGATCCGCAGCTCCCGGCGCTTCCGACTGCGCTCACTGTTGACCTGTGCCAGATCCCCCGTAAAACAACCAAATGATTAAAAATGGATTCCCCTGTAAATACCAACCAACCAGACCTCAAAAATTGATTCCCCTATGTAAACGTGGGGCAAGCAGGAAGCTATAGGCTAAGTTTCGGAGTTTGTTGTTTGTTACCTGCCGCGATTCTTGAGCAACGTATGTGCCTTGGCCTTTTGTATGCCTAGGTATAGGTTTTATGTGGTCCGTACCATGGTGCACAAAAGGCTTCTCGTAGAAACGACTTGTCTGGTAAGGTGCCTCAGAACTGAAGACTTGGCATACTGACTGCTACCCGTGGGCATATCCAAGTCGGTAGCCTTGCGAGAAACCCAGCAGATGTTTTTCGGAATAGTATGCACCTCTCTGATCCATCCATTGATACCTGAAATCCCAGACTAGAAGTCAGCCTTTCTGGTCAACTAAGGCTATGACCCTCAGATCCACCAGGTTGATTCAACCGAGGGCGGCATTTTCCTTTTTGATTCTGGCATTTAATTGGATATTGCAAGGGGTGGCAAAGCTGAGGGTACGATGTTGTTTACAGATCCGCCCAAGGACAAGCCATAAATAAGCCCACGTGTTTTCTTGCAACCTGTGCAAAGCGCCTTGAGATGCCATGCCAAAAGACCCTTAACCCGATGCACTGGCACAACATGATCAACCCTCAGCTTGGAGGGGTAGCTACTGCCTAAGACCCGCAAAATGTGCCCTTCGATTAAAGCGGATCAAAACCCGGACTCTGCAGCTACAGGATCCTCACCCAAATTCGCAGCCCCCAGAAATAGGTCGCACATGATCATACTTTCCCGCAGGCTGCGTGTTATGGGGAGGGATGATAATCTCCCAATGGTAGACTAACTTTTTGGCACCTTGCCTTTACTAGTGGACCAAACTTTGAAAACCAGAATGTCCACAGGTCGATTCTCTTTGGGCAAGTGAGTAGTGGCTCCCCCTCTGATGTGCTCATGAGACCCCGTGTTTCGTGCCGGCCTGGCGGATTTCGTTCAACGTGCCCGTCAAAATGGAGAGCGCGGAACCAATCACCAGCACCGTGGTTACCTCATTTTGATGACCCCAAAACACCAAAGCAAGCGGATTGAACACAAGCGGCTTGCCAAACCATGACAAACTTTTAAAAGGGACCAAGCCTTTGTTTTCAACAAGGCTGGCCATTCCGAAACCACATTTAGTCAGGGGGTTGATGTTTCGTGGCATTTTGACAGCCCAGGTTTCAACAAGACCACGTGCGCTTCAAAAGGCAAGCCAAGGAGCCTTGAACAAAAGCGAATTCCCTTCTAGTTGGATATGTCGCCCATACTAAGGGGGTTCCATGTGGGTTCCTTCACCATCCCTAAAGGTGGGCCGCTCTGCCCCTTTTCAACCCTAGGACCTACCCGCATGAGCTCTGCCTCAATCCCCGTTTGGTGATGTGTGGCTTGAAGCTTCCCTAGCAACTTTTTTGCTGTACCCCCCCCCACAACCAAAATAGCGGAATCAAAGAAGCTTGCAGCTCAAACACACACACAGAGACACACCAATGGTAGTAAAAATGGCTTAGGGGTACGTTCGCATCTGGCTTTAAGAGCGGCTGTGGCTTCAAAACCAACCCGTCGCAATGCCGGCAGCATGAACATGTACACTTCTGAGCCAACACTGCACCAAAGAAATCCACATCGATGTCAAGACCAGCCGACAAGTCGTACATTAAGACGAAGATAAACATGAAAGAACACATGCGTGCGCGTGTGGCGCAAAAAACGTGACCCTCTGCGGGCCTTGGCGTCTCAAGCAGGCGGAAATTGCTACCTCAGCGACGCCTGACGGACGAGGAGCGCGTTCAGAATGAAACGGGCGCGTTTTGCGGCGCCTGTTTTGCGTGACAGGCTCAGGACTTCGGCCAGCTGAGGTGCAGATTGCACGGCAGTTGGATTGGCGATTTCGTGGCAGGCGCAGCACTTTTGCAGACTCAAGCGCCTATTGTGTGACAGGCGCAGCATTTTGGCGATGCTGGAGAACGCGTCGCACATCCCTTTGGCACGGACCCAAGCTGGCACATGTAGATTTTGTGGCAGGCGCATCACTTTCGCCACTGCAAGTGCAGATTTCATGGCAGGCGCAGGACTTTCGCAAGGTCAGGTAGCTAGAGACTTAAACAGCCAGAGGGATACAGAGACAGCGAGATAGAGAGATAGCGAGATAGATAGACAGACGGACAGACAGACAAACAGAGAGATGGATAGACAGACAAATAGACAAACAGTTGGATGGCTGGATGCATGGATGGATGGATGGAACAATAGAGTGATAGATGGCAAGATAGATAGGTAGGTAGGTAGGCCGGCAAAGAGAGAGAGAGAGAGAGATAGGCAAAACGAGAAAGGAAGAGAGCAAAGGAAAGAACTGAGAAAGCAAAAGCGAAGATACGTAAGAGACATATAAAGATAAAAGGAAAGAACAGAAGAGCAACATGAAATTGAAGAGAACTCGCAAGAGAAACAGAGAAACAGAGAAAAATGAAACAACGATCGTTCTTATATGATTGAAACTTCCGCCAACCGGCCCTGCCGGTTCTACTGGTAAAAGCCTATATGATCTCGAACCAATTAAGCCAACAAAACGAATTTCACCTACTCGGTCAAAGAACAGCTCAAACGGCTCTAAGAGGCAAACCCGGCTCCAGTGACAAACCCATGATGTCCCTCAACTACTGGTTGTTAAAATGGGGGTCCCCTTTGAGATCAGAATTTACCCCAGACATGAAAACGAATCCACACGCTTTGAGGACTGGAATGTGGCGCGGCCTTTGATGCTCTGAACCATTGCTCAGGCCATTTGCTTCTTACTTCTGTCTTCCGCCCTGCGCCTTTGGTTTCGTGCCGACTTCTGAGGGGAGGGTAACCGTTTTGCCCTCCAGAACAATTCAGCTGCCCAGTCCAGTGGATTTCCATGGGAAAAAAGGAGAGAATCGGCAGCCTTTTTTGGCCGGTTGACTTTAAAGGGGAACCCTTCCGAAAAGAAAAAAGAGAAAACAACAGATAAAAAAGGCGCCACTGGGCAACTGGGACAATCAAACTAGACGACCGGAATCGCAGCTGAGGAACCACGCAGACCAAGCAGCCCACCTGTTCCAGCCCACTCTCTGGGCGCACCGGTGGAGGTGCTGGAGGCAACAGGATCCAGCCGATGGAATGCGCCTAGCGATGGATCGGTGAAAGACTTCTATACCCCGTGCCAGAATCTCAGAGAATTCCAAGCGGGCAATGCCCGAACCCCGTGCACCGAAGCCGCAAACAGGCGGTGAGGCACTGAACGCGCGTGCCAAACCTTCAAGAGCACTCGAATCCAGCCAAGTAGCATACTGAATGGCTGGCGGTAGGTCCTTTATGCCCGCCAAATCAATCCAGCTGAGACGAGTGCCGTCCTGAGTTCCATGGTCCACGACTTGAATGCACTACCACAGTGATCTGCCTGGCCTGGAATAAACCCGTGCCGTATCGGCCCTCTGCGGGCCCACAAGTCAAATACAAGCAGGAAAGGAGTGGGGGAAGAAGTTGCAACTGCAGCGCATCATCGGACTGGAAAACAACAGATGAGTCACAATCAAAACCTGGTATGAACATGGTGTACCCAAACCAACGCAAAGAACTACAACTGCAGCCACATCTAATTCTGGATGGCACTATATTCCTTACTAGCCTTCACTTACCCGGGTTTGGAGTCTGGCTCCCAATATGAAGCCACACAAGTCTGCAAATTGCACGGCATTCTGCGCTGAACACTGGTCCGTAAGCGGCGTCCAGCACGCCAGTCTCAGACCGGGAAAGGACATGTTTGCCGCAGTCATGGCAAAACTGGAACCGAAGGGTGGGGTTTTACCTTGTGCTTACCTCTAGGTGAACATGTTGGACCACCGCTCCGAACCAGTGAAACTTGACACTCCAAAGGCTGGGGATCACATTCCTTGAGAAAGGGGCATTCCAAATCGCTGGGGCTTGGTCGAATCGGCTGGCCAATCCCAAAAACAAACCCTTGCCAATCCCGAAGGATCAGGTTGCCTTGGAACAGTTGGCTTGCCGGAAAATAATGGGTCACATCTTATCTTGTTCAGGAGTCCTTCTGACATAGGCTCCCGAAAAGCGGTTAATGCCCAATCCTAGGCCATGTCCAGGTTCCAGATTGAATGGCGACAAGGAAATTCCGGCCCAAATGCACGCTTGAAGATTGCGACTGTTCCACTTTGCTGGACCCAATGAAAAGCATCTTTAATCAACCCCGATTCACATGTACCCCAAAATCCCCAAACAACCACTGCTAGAGCACTCAAATTTTGGAAAAGTGGGCAGTGTTTTGGGGCCACCCTTCAACGTATAAACAAATCCATTTGTGGCGGGTCGCCGACAGGGAGGCGCCCAGGCCAAACCAGGCACACGCCAAGATGTGCGCCACCGCGCCAATCGCCAACAGCATCTTGCCCACTGTAAAGGCGAGGATCAGCCACTGTCGCCCCATAGAGATCCTCGAATTTGCGTGATGCTCCCTACAGGCAGCTCCCGGGCACTTGCACCTTAACTAAACATGTTCTTTAATCTCCCATCCTCTAACCTGGAACCCAGCACGGGTCCCTGTCTTCCAGGACCCTTTAGTCAGGTTCCACGCCAGTGGACAGGAGAGTAGGTTCCAAATCATGTTTTCCCCTTGCGCCCTACACTGGTGACTGGGAGTGCTCATGCTACAGTGAGCAGCTGATGGTTGACAAGTTGACAAGTTGACAAGTTGACAAGTCGACAAGTTGACAAGTTGACAATATATGCTGACGTTCAATGACTAATTGGGTGCTTTGAGCTGTATCTCGCTTGGATTGACTAAGAAGAGAAATGATAGCATGTTCATCCAGCGTCTCCCGTCGTCCCCCGATTTCTGTGTTTTGTTTGCCGGAGCGCACGAGGTTCTCGAGCAGGACATTGATTTTGCCTGCCTTGAGAATGCGCAGAAGGCGCAAGGTCCTGGGCCATTCCCGCACACCGCGGTCCATGCCTCTGTAGCCATGCCGCAATCTTCTCGGGGCTCCAAACGTGTCTAACCTCGCTGAACCATGTAAATCAGACCTTTTCAGATCAATTGAACGCCCTTGGTGGAGAGAGCAGGTTACTCAACCAGACGAAAGCCCCCACGGCTTGTTCCGGCGATTTGCGGCTCGTTCCGGCGTAAGCATCCCGCCTCAGGATCCGCAGGTAGCGCGCGGAGCGCAGGGGCTGCAAGAAGTCAGCCCCTGAATTCGCGGACTCCCCCCCAGCCGTCATGCCTGCTGAGAGATCCAGCGCCACCACGCAAATGTCGAAAGCCAACCAGGTGGTCCTAAACGCCGAGAATTCCGGAAAAAGGAAGAAAAACAACATACAAAAATATGTGGCATATGGCTGGAAAAGTATAAAGTCCGTGAACTCGGGAAGTAAGAAGGTGGCTCTTCTGGCGGGTTTTTGAGTGAACTATGATATTGTCCGCAAAGAAGCATGCTGACTAATTGTGGTCGACCCCCCCATTTGATTGAATTATGTGGCATTGTCTGCAAATTCACTCATGCTCTTCGAAAAAACACATGTTCCTCAGCAATGCATTTCAAAAAAAAAAAGAAGTGCAGTGTTGCCCACGCGGTCTGTGTGGTTGTTTCTTGCACATGTTTCTGACGGCTTGGAAA